ACACACGTAAAAGACCCAGGAAAACCGAGTAAACGATAAAAACGATAACAAAATAACGCTGAAAACCGATAAAAACCCTGAAAACTATACATTTCACACCTGAGCCTCAACTCTCGCGGCCCGGTACCAAACGACTCACGGACCGGTACTGGTCCGAGGCCAGGGGTTGGGGACCGCTGATTTAGAAGAATACTCCATTAAGTCAAATTGTGGCATTTAGTTAGAACAAGCAAGGCAAGCAGTACTTGCCTAAAAATACACATTAAAATGTGTATTTTAGAAATAAAGCTATTTGTCTACTTCAAGCTCCTCGCCTGTCAGTTAATCCAGCTTTTACATTGCTGCCAGCCTGTGGCCGCAGTCGGATGTTGTTGCTGAAAGCTGTGCTTTTTTCATTTTCATGAAAGCAGCTCTGTCAGGTTTGAGGGCGTGGCCGTGACTGAAGCTGAGTAAACTCGAGGCTAGTAGTTTTTTCCTTCAGTGGTTTTGGATAAACCTCTGACCTTTGAGACGAGACCAGAGTGTGAAGCAAGCTGCTGCTGGTCAGCTTTCACTGCTCTGAGATTAGCTATGATTTGTGCTTGATATGCTAACACACTAGCATTAGCCAATTAGCTAACGCTAGTTAGCATTTGCAAGTAAACAGGCTTCAGAGATTTAGCATCGTAACCTTGGAGTTTCCCCTTGTTAACCGCTTTGGCTAACATGTATGATGTAGAGAAGATTGAGTTTGAGATTTTTTTTTAATAACTCCGTTTATAAGGAAAGCTGTGAAGATGATGGAGAGGCAGCAGCTCTGACCATGTCCGGGCTAATAAATCAGGCAAGTTAAGCAGGTGCAATCTCAGCAGCACTTTCAGATTAGCATCTACTAGGATCCAGCTGCTTTGCTAACACTCCACATTCATTTTTCATTTATATTTTGAATCCACTGTGGATATTAATAGTTGTCACACACTGATCCAACCTTTTAATTTTGCTGATTTTTTAAATTATTATTTTACTGTACTGTTTGAAGAGACCTGTGATTTGGAACAACTGTGTGTTTCCTAGATATGTGGCTCTCACAGGACAGCCACTACAAACACATGATTTATAGAATATGATGCTGGGCATTAAACAGACTATAAAGTATTTAAGATTAGCTCAATGTGCAGCAGTAATATTAATCAATTTAATACTGATGCGGAACATTTTCCTGAAGAACAATCATTTTTATTTTGATATTTTATGCACAGTTTCCCAATAATATTGTTTTATGAGTGGTGAGGTGTTTTCATGGTGTTTTATTGCTTCTTTTCCTGAAGAAATTGTTTAGAAATTTCTCCAGCACTTTACATTTTCAGCTTATACTTGGTAATATAGTAGATTTGACTTTATTTAACTATAATAGTAATAACATTTTACAATTCTTCAGCCAGGAAGGATTGCAGAAAGGTGAAGCTGTCCATGTAGAGTGAAGACAGACAGCACAAATGGTATGTTTTAATCTCATCCACTTTATCTTGTTAAATAGGTAAATACTTTTTGTAAAAGGTTACGCCTCTGTACTGGCATGAGCAGTGCATTAAGCAATGATGAAGACGACACGTCACATTTGAAAGAACGTGCTCGTCCCAGTAAAACACCTGAAACATGGGGAGTCGACGCAGAGGTGCACTGAAGCTGTTTGGGCAGCGAGTGGTGCCCCAGCACCTTAAAAGACACTGGATGTCGGCTTTCCCCTTTAATTTGTCACCATACATAGTCCTAATTCAGCATTCACTTCCAGGGGACTCGGTGCATTGTTCAAACATACATCACCCAAATTGCGAGGCAAAGATTAGAGGGGAAAAGCATAATTAGAACATTAATAACCATACATGTTGGGGAACATAAGTAATTGAGTTTTTATGATAAATAGGAACGTAAACAAAAGGCAGGAGAATGAGAGGTTCATTTAGATACTCCAAGCTGGGTCTCAGCAGAGACATGAATGTAGGCTTCTTCCACTGTTGCCCAATTATTTCTGTGTTTCCAGGCAATGATAGCATTGCTTGTCCATCTGCAGCCTTCAAAGGGATATTCAAATAGTCTCATTGAAGCAACGGCGCCATTTGTTGGCAGGGAATAAATTGTTGGCTGGAAATTTTTTCATCCTCCCGGAGCGAAACCAGGTATTTGTGCAGTTAAAGTTATTTACAAAGTGGTGCGAAATTTTAAACGACTCCCAGCGATTCCGTGCGTGCCTGTTTTCCCCCCTTTGATTCCTGCCATGTCAGTGTGTGTGTGTGTTTGTTTTTGGTTGCTTTTTCATATGCTGTCACCAGAGATGTGTGCGATGGCCACCCACACCTCCTTCATGTTCTTCCAGCTCTTTCTTACCGTCCGCTAATGATCCAGGGACACCGAGTTGGGCCGCTGAAACAAAATGGCCACCTTAGCTGCCCACTTATATCTCAACCCTCCCCTCTCGAATCAATTCTGACATTTCATTCTGCCCTTATAGAAGGTAATGGTGCATTCAGAGGTTGTTACCGATAATGTTGAAACGGTATTGCTTGGTTTCATTGGATAGATGTACTGTAACCTCTGCTGTGGGATGGCTCCAGCCTCTCTCCACCTTGTGTCTCGTCCCTTTTTTTTGGGGGGTTGGGGGGTTCTCCGAGACTGAGATGTTGGTATTTACCGGCTCAAATATCTCTTTTGGCACAAGTGGGAGCAGCGTTTTTCATTTTTTTCCTGTTAACAAATAACCAACCAGTGTTTGTATTTTCCTCCCACTCTTGTGTTCACACAACATGAAGTGAAAACACCCTTTTAAGTCAGCTAGTCAATATGCTGTTTCTAATATATTATTTACTGCCTATGGGCTGTATATCTGAATGCGCTAAACAACTGTTTCGGTTTTGCAGCCATAATCATGTAGAGAGAAATCACAGAGCCAGATGTCTGGCCCTCGTTTTACAGCGTTTATGTTTTCCTCCGAGTTTATGTAAAATTCATCCTTCCCTGTTTTATTTATTCCCCCGTTTTCACTGACTCAACAATTAGTCAATTCCCAATCAACAAGAGAAAAGAAATTGCTTTTAATTACTTTTGATAAATGACAAATTGTGTTGGCATGGCTCCCTGCAAATGCTTAATCAGGTGCTGGGCGGGGTAGGGAGGCGGGAACCAGGAGAAGGGATTTCTGCTGGGATGAAATCAATGCGGTTTCTCTGCGGTTCACCGGCTGGGCTTCTGGGCAACAGCCAACCAGAGGCCTGCGAAGATACACAAGTCAGCAGAAAAACCTCCTGCTGCATGAGAACAGTCACCCACTGAGGCACAAACATGCAGGAACATTCAGATATATATGCTTTGTGTATTGGCTCTGCATCTCACACACACGGGATGTAACGTCTGACAGCATCGAGCGCCGGTGATTAATACCAGCTCTGCAAACGATGCACCAAACGTACTCGGTGTAATTGCGACATTGTTTTTTTTGATCGCTAAATTCAGAGTGCTACTTTCTGCCGTCATCACAACTTATTGCGAGTGACAGGAGACGTCTTTAGAAACCTCGACTTAAATGGATTTTACTATAACTACTTCCTGGTGAGCAACAGCTGGAAGTCTTGTTGTTGCAGTGAGGTTGTCAAGTTTGGTGCCACTGTGCCTGTGAAGAGACTAAACAAAAACTTGCACTTCCTCACTGTATCTGGCACCTCATGCTAGCTGGAGATGCTACGCAGCAGGACGAAATGTCAAGAAGCGGCTCCAGCGGCTCACGCCCCTACAACTACACATCATTGTCTTTATGTGGAAGTTGTGCGAACGTGTCAAACAAATAAAATGCTCCTTATTTATTAGTTATTTTAAGGTGTTACTAGGATTTGGATTTGGTGCTTATTTGGGTCCTATTCCTCTGTGGGGGCAACCTGCATATGGCCAATAAAGCATTCATTCATTCATTATTTAAGCCTTCACAGAGCCAAACGAATCACTTCTCCTCATCTAACTAGACGTCCCTTTAACTATCTATTAAATGGACAGTTCAGTTGCAGTAGCATATATGCATCTAGCTTGTTTTGGACACTGTAGAAAGGTTATAATAGAGCCTGATGGCACTGGCCTGATTTTGCACCAAAAACAAACATGAAACTGAGCTGCTTGGTAAAAATTCGTGAACCTTGTTTTGAGGCGTTTCATGCAGGAACTATTTACCAGTTGCATTCAGCAACTAAATGAGGGGTTCAGCTAGTTTGCATTGCTGCTAAACCAAGGTGTGCACCATCTACATCCTGACATTCTGTTAGAAGTGCAAGCCTGGACTCACTGCTAAATGCACGCCCCCTTCTGCACAGTAATATGGCTGGGGGGTGTAGTTGGGTAGAAAGAAAATAGTTCCTGCGTGAAACTGCTCCCAACAGGGTTTGTAGATTTTGAAAAAAAGTAACGCTGCTGAGGTTTTCAAAGGATTTTTTTTCTTTGAGCATCACACAGTGAGAACCATCCAGCTCTACAGGCCTGAAGAAAAAAAGTATTTCCCTGTGAATTTTTCCATTATGTTATCTAAAAAGGTGAAAGTCTCTAAATATTACCAGCCAAATGTCTTTGTGAAGTAAGTGTTCACTGTACATCAGGTGTAGTCGACATATGGGCGAAGTTAATATCGCTGAGGTGTTTGTAGCACACCTGTCTTCTTCCACATGTCATGTTAGGACTAACCTGAAACATGCCTTCATGTTTAAGATATATTTTTGGATTTTGGATGAAAATCTGCTGTTACAAACATGATTTCTTTCACTGTGTTTTTCAGATTTTCTGCACGCGTCACACCGATGTTGTTATTGTGAAATGTTTGATCACCGTGAAGCAAAAGTGTGATATTGTGGCAGCTTTAGTATGAAGTAGTAAAAGTAGACGGCTGAATTCTGTTCCCCGTTTCATTAGCGCATAATTAAATGAATCACCTCCTCTCGCTGCTGCACTCTGTTTTCTAATAGGAGCTTTCCTCTCTTCTCCATTTTCAGGATTCATCAGCACCTGTGCCAACAGCAGCGAGTCGAGTGACCCAGCTCCAGGCCGACCGGCTTCACCTGTACATGGAGACCCCCAGCTGGGCAGGTCAGACTCTTAACTAACCCCCTTCGGACCCCCCCTCTTGTTGGTCTGTTGTGTTCTGGTTGACTTTTTTTTTTAATCTTATCTTATAGCCAAGTGGCGTTTACACTGAGGTAATTTATCCACAGCTTTTCCTGAGCAGAGGTTTAAGTTGTGAACATCATCACTGTGAACATGCTGCACATTCTTTGTCTAGTTTTGGATTTTTTCCTCCTGTTTTTGGCTTCACAGGCTAAAAGATCGAAACCAGATTTTTAAAAAATTGTCTTCAAAAATTATCCATAGGAAAGAAAAAAAAATTTCAGTGCTTTATTTTCATTGTGACATTTTGTTTTAAAGCATCTTATTCTGATGTTGATTAAAAACACACTTTACTAAAGTGAAGGGACACATAAAATTCCAATGTTTTCAGCTACTAGAGAAGAGGGACTGGGATTACCTCTCCAGTGATACAGCTCCTCACATTGCCCCGGTGATGTATGCATGTGCTCCGGGGGCTGTTAGAGGTCTGTGACGTAGGTCATGGATGTGGTTTCATGTGTATCAGAGCACACACACTCTGCAGCTGGGGATGTTCAGGGAAGCAGCACACTTCAAATTCAACCAGGGAGTGCAATGAAATGTTTCCCAGGGTGATACAGCATTAAAGTCCAGCTTGGGTGGGGGTCAAAACACCCTGTTTAATGCCACTCTGTCTGCTATGCCAATCCTGACCAGTCAGTTTGAATTAGGGCATTTATTAATATTGTAGGTATTTGTTTTTTATTTATAAACCATCTCGACGCCCCTCTCGCTCACAGCTGCGATCACCACGTTTTAGTTCACTGCGCTGTCGCTAACTTTGTAACTTTAGAGATTTAGCTCCTACTTGCAAGACCTAGCAAAACAAATCTGCACAGTGTCCTCCTGCTTGACAACAACGTCTTGCTCACCTTGCACGGGAACAGCTCTCTCCGTCTCTCTGCTGTGTCCGTCGGGTAAATGAACAGCATGTCGGAGTGGTGCACAGCGGGAGAGAAAAAAGTAAGAGCTTCTCTTTCATCTGACTTTCTCTCTGAGCGATCATATTATATACAAATATAATAGGCTGTATATAAAAGATAGATAAAGCCACTGTCACATCACTGAGCCTTTGTTGCTGCCTTTCGGAGACAGAAGTCAGCGTCACATTCCAATAAAACCTCTCCCAAAGGCACCGACGCGGCAAAGGCTGTCGAGAGGTCCAGTTCAGTGGCATCAGGTGCTGAAGGTGAGGCAAAGCAAACTGTGATTGGGTGCAGTGTGTTAGCAGCCTATTTCCTAACTTTAATTAAAAGGAATTACCTTTGTGACAGCTGTTAAGAGAGAAAACCTGTTTTGGTACCCGACTCCAGCTTTTTTGGCTTTTTAACACCTCGTATTTGGAGGCGAGCGCTACAGGCATCTTTTGCATCTCCATCACATTACAAGCGCTGGAATTCATGTTCACGAACACAAATTATGAGTTATGATTTTGTGGCTTTACAGCGCAGCAACAACTCGTCTGCGTGCAGACAAAAAAGAAAAGGAGAGCGAGACCTTTGCCACTTATTGTGGTTTTTATTTCAGCGGTCGTCACCTTTCTTCACTCCAGGGGCGAAACACTCCAGAGTTTGAGGAAACAGCTTCACGCCCTTTCGGTGTGAAAGCTCTCTCACTGCGATAAAGGCTGTATGTATGCGCGTCCTACTCTACCCTATCCGGCCATATTGTGCTGATGTGCGCTGGTTAAGTAGCGGAAGACTAGAAAAAGACTCTTATCCATATGCCTGAGAGCCCAGGAGTCGGTGTGATCTCTCCCCAGATGAAGCTCTCAGCTTCCTCGCCCGTCCTCTGCGGAGCCATATAGCAGGTGGCAGCGAGGATCAATGGGCCCCAGCCATTACCTCCTCTCCACTTCATATCTCCAGCCTCATCTCGGCGGGGGGCCCGCGGGGCATGCGGCGCGTCTCGCTGCAGCACACCGGGAGAAATAGGGACGTTTTCCATTAGTCTAATTGCTCGGTTATAGTTCTATATTATTGCCGTGATCACCACTGTGGCTCGGTAATGACGGACCTCCCGTGACCCCACGTATAGCTGGTGGGTGTTATGTCTCCCCCATCACCGCCCATCGAAACTCTGCTTTCAGCGGGCGTGGGCGGAGAGAACAAACTTAACGTGGAGATGAAAACAGGAGGATAAACAGCCCCAAAAACGAGCAGAGCTCTTCAAATGTTTTGATGCAAGTTTAATCAAATAGCCTCAGCTATTTACATTCTCAACAGGTGCTGCGTTTGGCTGATTTATGGAATAAACACTGGAGTTGTAGTGCTTGTTCATTTGCCTCCGCTAAAAACTGGCAATATGGGGCTAATTTGCAATAATTTGCTGCTGCTGTGGCCACTGGTTAAGAATGTTTATATAATCATGATATAATAAGAAAAATGAAAATGAGTTTTTCATGCAGTTCAGGCCCTGTCAAACACAGCTCACGGACCCACTAAATGATAATTACATTCCTCAAGCACAGTATTACATTATACCCTCTTACATGGACTTTGTTCACGGTAAATGGGGGAGTATTATTTTCATTTTAAGGCGATCCGACCCGGTATTATTCCCACATCTGAGCTCCCTGGGTACAGTGGAAGGTTTCCCCCCATCAGCGATTACACGAGAAGTCTTCCATCAGCGAGCAGATGAGGTGAGGATTATAATGAATTCATTTACCCTCAAAGACGCTGCCTTTCTTCTTTGTGTTTGTAATATCCCATTTGCATACCTCGTACGATCGGAAAGCTTTAGTTTAAGCGGCGTTGGGCTAATCGGGCCTGAATATTTCACAGCTGACCCGTAGCTCTCCCTACAGGTCAGCGCATAAAAGCTGCTTCCTGTTTTGGGTTTCCTCTCATACAGTCAGGATTGCTGCTTATTATCTGGCCTCCCACTCCTTAGAAGGAGAAAATCCTTGGCCGCCGTGATTCCTCGTTTTTAAAAAACATTTCTTGTGTGTTTTTTTTACAGGTGTGGGTATTGATCTTTTGCCTTTGCTGCAGGGGAGCGTGTTCACTTAAAAGGCCCGCTGATGTAGCAGAGCTTATTAAACAAATAGGCCAGAGAACAAGGCCACAATCACTTTGAATCATGAAGGAGGTTGCCCATCTTAAAGCAACACTGTATCAAATATGAAACGCTCTGCTAACAAGGTGTGTAATCTATTTTAATCAGATCATATTTTATGAAACAAGGAGAAGGTTGAACTTAAGTAAGAGAGAAAGATGGAGATTCCGAGAGGGCGAGCTGGGGATTGTATTTTGAAATCGAATGTGACGGCCAGGGACCACGACTTGATTTTACATGCATGGCTTTATAATGAAGCCACGGCAAATGGTCAGTTATGGTTAACTTTAGGGGGAAGCTGGAGCCTTGCTGTAATGGGAGGCTAATTCAGGGCCCATAACGCCTTGACAGGCTGCGGGAGCCGAGCTGGAATATGGAGAAGGATGTAAGTTGCAGGCTCCAGGGCTGAAGTTAAGGTCTGTATTTGTCTGCAAATTGCCACGTTGCCTGAGGATATAATGGGGTCAAGAGTGGCGTGGCATATTTTGTGCGCGCAGACATACTGTCATAGAAATAAACACAAAGCAGCGGCGCACAGCCTCCTGCCGAGAGACTGGCCAACTCACTCGAATCAAGTGCACAGGAGCGACTTGGTGTTGTCATTGCAATTCGGGCCATGATCATTTTTTTATGCCTTTACACTGACTGAGTTCACAGGCGAGTGTTTTCAATCATGTTTTTTTTCTTCTCTGCGCCATAAATTGTTTCAGATCCTGTGACACGACTAGACTTGGTTATGAATACATGAATATATATACACTCACAAGACCTTAGGTAGTGCCACTAGTCAGACGAGATAATGGATGCAGAGATGTTATATACTGCTCCGGGAGCCACCACTTGTTAGATAAGATCTCCTTGGATTTTAATGATTAGAAGGAGGAAAAGAATGAGGCTGAACATGTTTATTTCTTCTTCCTTTTGGAGAAGTAGAAATCCTCTGCTTTTACGGTGAGTAAGCACAGTGCTCTTCGGTCATCACCACACCAAATGTCTGCCTGCATTACAGAAAAATATGTGCTCCTCTTTATCCAAAAATAAATAAATAAATAAAATGCTGCTATGGGAACTACTGCAGATATTAATAGATGTCTAATAATAGTTAGCAAGGTATTATTCACCGCTCTGGAAAGCACCACTTGTTGGAAGAGAAACTCCTCTGATATTAATCACCGTGAAGCACAAAGAGAAGGCATTTAACACCCCAGCGTTACAAAATGAAGATGCTGTTGTTTGCGTCGTGTTATAAATTCGTTGGATCCTGAGCGCGCTCGCAGGGCCTCTTTGCCGCCAGCATCGGAGCGATGCGAGCAGGGGGAGAGGGGGGGAGGAGGAGGAGGAGGAGGAGGAGGAGCAGAGGAAGGAAGAGGAGGGATGCCTGCATCTTTAAAAGGTAGATGGAGTGAGGGAGCGGGGCGGATGGGTGGCTGGCAGGATTGTGCTGACGGCAGGGCTTTGGTTCAGAGCATGCCCATTAGAGGGAGCCATAAATCCTGGGCTCTCTGGGCCGGGCTGTGTCAGCAGTCCACTGAATGAATTGATTTTAAACGCCACTGAAAAAAAGAGAAAGTGCAAGGGGGGAGAGTGAGAGAGAGAGAGAGAGAGTGACTATTTAATTCACCCTCCGCCAGAAGCCCACACCCCGTTCCACCCCGCTTCTCAATTCAGGACTGCTGCTGAAAAGGGGGAGGAGAGAAGTCTAGAAACACTGAAACTGTCACCAGCAACAAGCCCAGGGCTACGCGGCCCCCACATGTTTGATTTAAACAGGAGGGAAACACACAAACCAAATACATAATCTCAAATTCCATACAGCATTTGTTCTCCCACCCCTCTAATTTTTCCCTCTCAGCCCTCTCCTTTTATATCTCCTCAAGAGAAAT